GAGCTCGGATATATCCATGGGGCAGAGTTTTTTGCGTGTTTATGCTGTGGTTGCTCCTAAAAGCTGTGGTAATTTGACAGTCCCTGCCTGAAGAAGTTTGCAGTTTGAAAAGGCTAATCAGTCTAAAGCATGGGAAGGAGAAACAAAAAGAGTTTGTGGTTTGCTCCTGGGCAAGATGTAGTCTGGGAAGGAAACAGGTTTCAGTTGGATAACCTGTGTTCTGTCTAGACTAGATGTTCTTATCCTTGTTAATCTTTGTTAGATTTCATTCTTTAGCTTTATAGATAAGCAACACTGCCTTATGAGTGATATTTGTAATTTCTGATTACTGTGGAGACTAATTTAGTACTCTGCAAGGAAGATGGTATAACTCCTATTTGAGCTTTATTTTCTGGGGTATACAAAAGGTTGCTTTGCTGATACTAAGCATTTAAGTACTCCAGGCTTATCCTCCCGGAATTACAAGAGTTCAAAGGATTGGACCTTTCTCATCTCCCCTGGGCTTTCAAGGCTTTATAAGGTCATGCTTCCTGGCTCTTCTCTCTACAGGGACAAGGCCTAGACTCAGACCAATATTAATTTGATGTCATGATAGCTGAGTGCTTCCTGTGTTGCAGATGATGGATGCTTTTACTGCTGTGGCCATGTATGTGGGTTTGGTTCTTGATCAGGTATGAAGGCTGAGAGGAGGTCCTATTCCCAGCATGTGTGCCTGAGCAGCTTGTTTGGTGCTGCTTGGGCCAGTGTATATCATAGCAAGGGAGGAAAGGAGGTCTGTGCAGTGGATACAGCATTCAGCTGAAGTTCAGGAATGGTTACAGAGCTGTGGCTGCACATCATTTGATGATGAGGCTTGTAGAAAATAACCTCTGTCAAATAGTCCCAGCTGTTTGATGTTATTGGCTTGTTCTGCCTACTTTGTCCTCTCACTGGTGCTCTCTGTCTCTTGTACTGATAGAGCACATGAAAGTTCAGTGTGGCATTTGAAGAGGCCAATTTACATTGTAAGAGTCCCAGTGATTCCTCCTCTGTTTACATGCATTATAAGACCTAATGTCTAGTAGCGTGGCTCTTGGGGGATCCCATCTATAAGATATGAAGCCAGGTTCTAATCTGACTGCCAGCTGGAGGAATCAGCTTGTGCTGGTGTTGTCCCGAGAAGCTCTGGCTGCCATCACTCATCGCAGTGATCTTGTGCCGGCCTGGCCCAAAGCACTGGCATCAAGAGACTGCATGGCTGCTAAAGCTCTGTGCCTGTGACTTTTTGTGGTTGCTACTGAAAATGAAAAACTGAAACTAATTTGCGAGTAATGGATGTGCTGCTAACAGAAACACATCCCCCCCTAACACCAGCAGGTTGCTTATGGCATATTTTGTGCAACTAAAAATATTCCTTTTTTTTCAGCAAGCTAATTTTGTTTAAAGACTGTTTTCACACATCAGTGGCTGTTAATCAGTTAAGGAGTTATCAGTTTTAATATTAGAAAGAGAGAAGTAGGTGTCATTGACAACTTAAAACCATTTCTATTCAGCTGGCTTGCAGCAGATTATGAGAAATCTTAGGCTCATCTTATTTCTCCTCCTTTTCCCACCCTCTTTAAAAAAGAGATAATACCATTAAATGAATGGCTGTACCGTGCTAATTCTACATATCCTTTGAAGAACCATTGAATTAGAAATACTGAGATAAAAATATAAGACTAAAATAAGATTTAATTAGAAATTAAACTCCAGACTCCCATGTAATTTTAAATAAAATCATGTATACTTCATAAGAAGATTTTAAGGTTGACAGTCAGAAGAGGAAAGGTAAGACAACAAACCAAAACCCAAGATATATGCTTATTAGGCACAAGCTGCTTATGGCTCTGTTTTACTGCAAATCCAGATCACAAAATCATAGAATCCTTAAGGGTTGGAAGGGACCTCTGAAGGCCACCTAGTCCAACTCCCCTTCAGTGAACACAAATACCCAACTCTTTGCCAGCAAAGGCAGAAAAATAATATACTAGCCCTTGCTTTTTGGCTGTTGAACTTGTCCAGGACTGTGCTCATCATGCTACCATTATACCTGCTCTGCAGGTGGAGGGTAAGATGTACCTGAGACAGCTCTTATGTCCAAATCAAACCAGGTAAGGGTGCAGAGAAAAATCGTGCAATAGGTACTTGTTGCTCTCCCAAGCTGCCGTTCACCTACGGCTGGGGAACTGCGCTGGGGTAGCTGAGCAAATGCCCTGCTGTCCTCCCCAAAGCATCTGCTGCTGGGCTTTTGACTCTGCACACCTTTCATCTGATTTGTTGTGGCAGTTCTGACATGTTGTATTTTATTTGTTGTCCTTCTGCTTTTTTTTTTTTTTTCTTTAATTTGCATAGCTCATCTCCTTTTCCTGAATTCTTTCTTTCTAACTGATATGAAAGTCTTTCACTTAGATTTGACAGCCCACTGTGCTGGGTGTTTGTTGTGAGGATTGATGTTGCAACTTTCAGTATAATGTAATGCCCTTGAATATGCCTTCTTATACTGTTTGGGCAGAGGAGGGACCTGTCTTACCCAGGGGAGTTCAGATTACACAAAAACTGGTCCAGTTTAGTTTCATTTCACATCCCTCATTTAAAAAAAAAAAAAAAAAAAAAAAAAAAAGGATTATTGGTGTTGTGAATCTGTTGGCAGTGCACTTACTCATGAAAACAAAACATTCCCTTCAAGCTGAGCTATGTATCATACCGTCATTAACAAACTGCACCTTGTTGAAAATATGTTGAGGAAAACTGATTTATGTTGCATTTGCTGCTTTGCACACAATAGAAGCACAGTAAACTCTCATGCCATAATGATTTAATGATTTTCTGTCTGTCTTGATGGGTCATAATGAGATAAATTCAAGTCCTTTTCTGAGGGCTAATTACTTCGAGTACACACTAGACGTGGGTTGCACTCTTTATACTTCACATGTGTTTGTGTTTTCATTCTCCCATCTCTTTTGTCTGCATACGCAAGTGAGTTTTGATCTGTCTTTGAAATACAAATTAAAGGCTAGAGCCATGTCATGGTCTCCTCTACCTGAAGACTCTCCAGAGCATTTGTAACTATTCCTGCTGTACAGATAGGGCAGCATCTGAAGATAGCTGTGAGGTAAATAAAGTAAAGAAACTCTGAGTTAGAAACTGAGGAATGTGCCATAAGACATCAGGGCAGCTTGTGGCAAGTCTGTTAGTAATTATCTAGAATAAGTTTGGCTGTAGGTATGTTCAATGCGCCCCGTGCATGGCTACAAGACAAGGACTGTGTGCTCCAGAACTCACATCCTAAATATGGAAAAATAATTGAATGCTGCGCAATTTTGGTAATTGCTTGCATGGTCCAGGCAAAACTGGAGGTGGAGCCTGGGGAGGTGTATGGTTTGCTCCTGGATTGCCATCCCTTTTGCTGCATGGGTGATTTCCATCAGCAAAGACTTGCTTGTTGATTCCAAGGGATTTTCTCCCTGTATTGTAGAGAGGTGATACCAGAATAGCTGCCATACCAAATAAAACACCATGTGTTTTTGATTAGTGTTGATGTGCAACTGTTTCACCTTTGGTGAAAAAGTTTGTGATGAAAGGGGAAGACGTCAAGAGAGTTTCTCTGGTACTACTGGGAGCAGAGTCAACTTTACAGCCAGTTATCCTACTTGGTCCTTCAGAGGAAAAGGGATTAATAACAAAAATTTACACATTATTTGCAGGAAAGTTGAACTCAGTCGTCACATCTTCCGGTTGAATTTTAGCACATGGCCTTTGTGCTGTGTTTGTCTGGGACATTGATGGGGGGGATAGTATGAATGCTTCTGCTGTGAGCTCATTTGCTATTCAACTGGGGACATTTGAGTGCAGATAGAAAGGTTCTGGAATTTCCAGGTAACTCCTGTAAATCTTAATGGCAAGGCCTTTCCATCATTGATACCATACTGGACATAAGAGCATCTTTGAAGGGAGAAATGTGGCAGCTTTTTGGAGTCAGGCAACGTGTTTATATATCTTTGCTTTTTGAGGTGACCAACGAATCAGATTTTATCTGAGCTTTGTTTTTCTTCATGGTAACTGTGGCCTTGTGATTCTGTATACCAACTATATGATTACAGTTCCACTTGGCTTTTTTCTAAAGACAAGGTGGAAACACACAAACCTATGACTGTCACTGCTTGTGCTGCATGCACGCAGAGGTGAATGAATGCAGAGATCATTGCTTAGGTGAAACAGCGCTTGTTCCTTGAGCTCAGAAACAAAGTATTACTGTACTGAGTTCAAATTCTGATAAAAGAAAGAAAATTAAAAAACCCAAGCTATGCTTAGCCAATATATTACATTTGTGAGAACACAAAAATTTCTTATATAGAGGCTTTGTGCTTTATCGTGCATATATATTGGAGCCAGAAGGAGCACCCTGCATGGCAAGCATGCTTGATTCAGGCTATACCCAGAGCAATCTGTCTTATATAGAGTACTTTAAAATTCATCATAGGTTTTCAGAGTAAGAAGCCCTAGGGAAGTAGCCTTATCACAATGTCTTAAAGCTTTCGATCTCAAGATCCCCTCCACCACTGTATTGTTATTGTTTGCCGAGACATTGATTTCTGGGTATAGAACATCTTAAACAAAAACCACGAGATGTATTTTACGTGCTTTTCTAAAACTGAATGAAAAAAAATCCCAAACTCAATAATGTTTTCTAAAGCAGAGAGAAAAGATGTTACCTCATGCATTCAACACAGAAAATAAATACTCAGCAAAGGAAGATGCTAGGGGGGAAATATAGTCAACAGATTCTCATTTTCTTTTCATGCAGATATTTAAGTGTTCGTTGTACACTGGTGGAGTAGACTTGTTTTGAAATATACAAACCGAATAGCTTGCGAGTGTTTGTCTGTTTTCTTTGTAGCTGAAGACATGTTTTTAAAAGGAAATGTGAAGACACTAATTTTATGATGGGAGACCTTAGTCTGTGGTTCTTCTTTTTACAGTATGCAGACCTGGGTTCTTCAAAGCTTCACCCCACAGTCCATCCTGCAGCAAATGTCCCCCTCACAGCTACACGCTTGATGAAGCATCCACATCTTGCCTGTGTGAAGAGCACTATTTTAGGAGGGAATCAGACCCACCTACAATGGCCTGTACAAGTAAGCATGTGCCTATAGGGTTGTTTTTAATCCTTTTGAGCTGTTCCTGTACTGTGACTAGACATTATGATCCTAATGTACTTTTACAGGCTCTGGGCTTCAGTCTGAGCTAGTCTGACACAGTCTTAATGCCACTAGCTTTGTCCACCATACCCCCAGTTACGTGAGGAGACTCAGCCCTTTGGAAAGCACTTTTGGAAAGATGCTGTGAAGCTTGAGGAGCATTTAAGTAACAAACAGATGCTCCATTTCTTGTAGTTTACTCTTCAAGCATCCAGAGATGTTCTCAGCCAGCAGCACTGCACTCGAGTGTGTGCATAGGTACCTGGGTCAGGCACATATGTGGAGGGAACTATGGATAGTGATTATCTGCTCTAGATATAAGTAGAGTATACATGGTCCTGCTTAGCATCATCTCTCAACTCATTTTCAGTAGATAGTGAGGTAGAGAATCTTGCCTTTCCAAGCCACCTGGAGATTGTTATTCTTTAAGGTAGTCTCAAAACTTGCAAGGAGAAAATGCATCTCCAAACTGGTATCAAAAATGTAGAGCTTATGTCCTGGTGTGGGGAAGGGTGGTATAACAAGCGAATTGGGGTTTTAAGAGTTGAATTGGTAAAATCAGAATCACTGGTTTTACCCTTGTCCTGTTATTCTTTTGTCTGTAGCTTGAAGGCTGGTTGTTCTGTTTGTTTTATATTTCAAGTACATAGGCCTCAGTTTCTATACCTTCAGCTAGTATCCCTGTGTGTAGCACAGGCCATGGGTTTTTGTGGGGCCAGATCTGTCAGGGTCCAAATGTAATTTTGCAGGCAAAAGTGATTAAAAGGGACTGAAGAGGAGCTGAACTACGGGGGCAGGAGCAGGCAGAACTTCCAGGGGACGTCAGCAATGGAGAAAAAGCAGGTGTGTAAGTTCAGTCCATATGCTTGCTCAGAGCCACTTGGGAGTGATATAGAGATGACTTCCATCCTGTTTCCTTTCCATAATCCTTTCCAGGAATGGGAAGTTCACAGTTGCTAGATCCCTTTAAAGTTGTGTCAGTGGCATATTAATGTGCATCATGTCACAGGGCTCTTCTCCCGGCTGTCCTCCCTGCAGGGATGAGGAGGAGAGATTTGTAAGCAGAATGGAAAAGAGCAGAGAGCAAAGGACTGCAGGGACAGGCATGAAAACTGGGGTTGGATGTGGCACTTCCTGTGCCTTCATCCTGGTGAATAAAGCTGTCTTTTCTAGTTTCTCAAGTTGGCACTTCAAAAAAGAGAAGGAAAAAGGCTGTTCCAGTTGGAGAGTCTCTTCACATAGGAGGACTACCTGCTCTCAGCAGATCTCCTCCCACCTAGAATAGTCACTTGGCACAGGAAACACAGGAGAAACAAGGCCCTTGATCTCAATATTTACCTTTTACGTCTAGGAATGTGAAGCACATGCTGTTGAAGTTGTGCTACAGGGAAGAATAAGACAGCCTCAGGCAGTGTGACAGTGGCAGTACTATGGCATCAAAGTGATGGCTAGGATGGGCTACAGCATGGGAAGCTATGACAACAGGACTCCCTGATGTCTATTTTACCCTGGGACATGTCTTTAAAAACTTTGATAAATGAGAAAAAGGATGAGTATTGGTGGTATTGGGAAATGGGAAGAGGAGAACTCTGAAAAGGCACACAAAATCAGCTTCTTTTGAGCAGACAAAGCCAAAGCAGAGTAATACCAAACAGTCCTGCTGGTGAGTTAGCACAGAGAAGAAGCAACCAGCTCTGAAGAAGAGATTTATGCAAGCCCATGACCTGAGCATAGGGTTTCTGGCACAGTCTGAATCCTGTAGGTAAAGACCGTAATTTATGATGCCCTGAATAGTGTAGGGTTGGTATTCCTTTTATATACTTTTTTTACTTGGGTTTTATTTTGTTGTTGGTGGTGGTTTGTTTTTTGTTGTAGTTGATGATAATTAGTTAGTTTGGGATTTCTTTGTTTGTTTGTTGCTGTTTGGGAGTTTTAATGTTTGATTTTTGTTTGATTGTTTTGAAAGCTTACTATAAGCTTGTTTAAAGTCCAGACAGTGCACACACCAGTGGTGTGTGAAGCTGTATTTGGATGTGGCTTGGCAGAGTACCGAGTGCTTCTGAGGCAAATGAGAGTTTTAATGTCGACTCAGGCACTGCTTACTTCTCTAGCCCACTGTTTCGGAGGATGCTGCTATATACAGAGCAAATACAGAGCAAACTGGTACAGTAATATAGGGTATTGAAGCATCTCTGGTGAGATTTATACTTACTACTCCCAAAAGCTGAGTGCATCATCTGAGTCCTCTCTGTGCGCTTCAGTGTGCTAAGTCATCCTCCCTTGTCCTACACATCCTTTCTTGGGATTTTGTGCTAATCCAGCTGTGTCTGTGTTAGCGGTGGTAAGGAGAGCCTGTGCTCTCTCCCCAGCTCAGTTGCAGGCAAAGTAAATTTTGGCAGGGATAGTAAAGAGTAGGTGACAACACTAACATTTTGAACTGTAAGATCTGCAGGAGAACATCTTGTCATGAACGAAAACACAAGCTAGACAGACTTGAGTCATGACGGATAGGAAAACACTGTTAAGTTTTGTGAATGTTTCTGTTATTTATTACAGCAGAAGTTAATAATATTCATAGAATTTCCTCAACTTGAAATCTAGTTAATTTTAGAGAATACATCAATGTTTGTTTTCAGCTCTACACCTGTAAGGTCCCTATGCCAGTTGGTGTAGCTATAAAATCACATTTTCCTAATTTAAAGATAATGCCTTTTGCTCTCAAGCTGCCATGAGTCTCCCCACCAGCACCACCATTGCTAAAGAAAACTGCTAAACCACTATCAACTGTTCAGACAAGCATGAGGCAGGGGACACAGCACAAATACATTTTTATTTAATTTTCTCAGTTCCTTAAGCATGTTTTATAAGTAATGCTTGGCAGTTTTTAAATTTATAGTGCTGTGATGCAGTCCAAAAGAGCTATTACCATCAAACAAAAAATATTTGGTTCTGACCGGCAGTTGAGAATTCTTAGTACTGTTACATGCATCTCCCAGGAAGTTTTTGAGCTTGATTTCTTGATTAGTAGTCCTAACTTCAGTTCTTGCAGAACATCAATTTTGAATGAAAACATACTGTTTTGCACTCATTTTTCCCTCTCCCATCTCTGATGATTAATCCTGTTGTAGTTCAAAGTATACAGAGAAAGTATGAGTGAAGGTGAATGGCACAAAAACATAGAAGAAAGAGTGTGATTTATGGGATGCACTGATGTTTTTGTAGTGTTTGGTGTAACATTCTGTTCTCAAAGGATATGGTTACCTCTGTGTACTCACACATTTATATTGTGTCTCAGGGGAAATTTCTCTTTCAATTTATTTTTTAAAAATATGCATATCAGCAAACAACAGGTTAGCTGTCCATGAAGGAAAACATCGATACCTTTATCTTCAGAAATGACTACCCTCTGGTCAGTGAATCATTCTGCAGAAATGGTGAATCTTAGCTTCACTGCCTGCTTAGGGCACAAAGTAACAAATTAAAAAAAAAAAAAAAAAGCAGAAAATGAATATGTTCATCCTTGATGAAGGGAAGCTGTAAATTAAAACAGAGCTGCTTAGCAGTTCTGGAGGTCCCACCTTTTCTGAAGCGAAAACACTGGTTTGTTCTCCCAGCTGAGATTTTTCAAAGCTTTACTCATGTGCAGTGTACTCAGGATTCTTCAAGCAGGTCCTGTTAGATATGTGCAGACAGCTGAAGACCTTTCTCAGAGCCCCTCTGAGAATGCTAATTTTATAGGTTACCCATTCCCACTAGCTTCAAAGCATGTTTTTAAGCCTTCAAGAAGAGCAGCTGACTCTTCTGTGCAAAGCGAGTACAAACCTCTGCTGCCTTTACAAAAGTGATAATTTATCCCCTGTTAAAGGCATGTTGTCCAGTAAATGTTTTTTGTGGGTTGTTTTTTGTGCCTGAGTTCTTTTATTTTTCTCTTAGAATACTGGTAGCAGTGAAAGTGCATTCATCCAGCGGAAGGAAAAATCGGACAATTTAACCAGTAAAACAAAAACCCTGAGTGCAGTAGATGTAATCCCACACAGCTCTTGAGATGGATTTCGTAGCCCCCATTATATCAGTATGAGGATGAGAGGCCAGAAAATAGTTCTGACTGCTGCTGTCCTGTGGTGTCATTAGCTAACCAGCACTGTCCCCCCGTGGTGCTGCTGGTGCTGCTGGCGAGAGGCGGCCTGTAGGAATGCTCAGCCTGGGCACGGTCTGCTCTGCCACCACTATGCATCAGCTCCCTCAGCTGCCTTCTGCCCAGAGAGGGGGTACTTATTCCCATTTATACCAATGTGAAGCTGTTATTGTTGTGGTCCTCTTACAGAGGAACATCCTGGCTTCCCTGGGAGTTGCTGGATGGCTGCTGTACCTCTGACAAAGCTGAGCTGCCGTTTCCTAAACTGACCTAGCTTTTGTCTTTGACTGTTTTTCTCTGAAGAAAAAAAGAATATCAGGAATATTTATTTCCCTCTGGTGTTGAGTTTCTTGTTGAATCAGAATAGCTTGAGTTGAGATCATTGCAATGTTTCATAAGCATTACCAATTTATAGACTTAAAAAGGGGAGTAGGGAGGGAAAATAGTGAAAAACTAAAGGTAGATTCAGTTTTGCAACATTGCCCATTTTAAATAACAAATTGAGTTCAATCATCACAACAGAACTAAAAGACAACAAGCTAAGACAGGCTGTTAAATTTGTACGGGTTTCTAGTTGATAAAGCCAGCTGACAGGCTCTTTTCAAAGAGCTGCTCATGGGTTTTGACAACTTCATTCAAACTGTGTGGAAGTCTGTTGCCTTCTTGGAAAAATCTCAGTCTTTGCTTTATAGCTTCTGGTAATGCTGCCACTAAAATCCATCCCACCTTTCTTTGATCAGTTTCCCCATGTGAGTCTCTTGCATGAGATTCTTGCTGTCCTTTCACATCATCTTCAGCACGTATCGTCAGCTTGCCCTTCATCTCCAAGACAAGTCTATTAAAATGAAAAGTTTCTCAAAGTATCTTCTGGGCACTGTATCCCTTTTCCTCACCAGATGGTTGGATTTTTGTAACTCAAAGCCGTTGAGTGAAGTGTGAGCATTTCAAGTTGGCTGTGGCCTCTGTGCTCAGAGACCTGCCTGGGCTGCCCTGCTTGTCTCACTGGGAGACATCTACAGAGCACTGCCAGGGATTGCAGGAGTTAAGTGGTGATAATGCACACTGTCAGTTGCCTCTGACTTTTGGAAAGGTGCATGCCAGGACCTTCAGCATGTAAATGGTCTTGAGGGTGTCTTCAGATAGGCAGCACAGCCACCTGCTGAATTGGGAGTTGCTTTTGTAAATCGCCACCTGAGCAGCTTTCTTTGCCCAGCCACAGCTTCTCCCAGCAGGATGAAGGAAAACAGACCACATCTGCAGGAACTCTGATAGTTCCACAGCAGCTGTTCCTCCTTAGATAGCATTGCCAGTGCCATACTGACATACCAAGTGCAGAGGCTTGGCAAAATAAGCAAGCACAGTGTGACTAACCAACCGTGCTAGTACTGAGAGCTTGGCAGGGACCACGAAGGCTGCTGTTGAGTAGCCAGATATGGCTGTGTTTTCAGTGGCCTATGTAGATTACCATCTGCTTTGGGGTACATAGAGTGTCTCGCTTAGGTATGATTTGGATCCCCAAACTTAGATTTTACTGTTGTCAAAGAGCTAATTGGCAGAGATGGGTGGATGAATAGAATTCAGTGTCTGAATTGGCAGAGTAGTGGAATACACCAGTATGTATCTTTTTTAAGGATCCAAAGCTAGCAATATAGGGGCACTGGGGCAAGAAGGGGAATCTTGCCTCCCAGGTAAGCCAACGTTGGCTGGGACAGAGCAAAGATTTGCAGATCCCTTAGCAGGCAGAACAAAGAGAATACCAGATGCAACATCCCAGTATGAAATGTGCTGCCCTTTTTATTTTTGAGCCAGACCTGTGTCTTGCCCTCACTTAGAGATGGCCGTGTCCCAACACAAACCCCTTAAGGTAAGGTGGGAAGGCTTGAATCCCCATCTTCTGTCTTCTTTGGCTGCTGCTGCAAATTGTCTGTGTGCTTTTTGGCACAAGAGCGACACTTTTCAGCATCTCTTTTCAACCAAAGAGTAGTAGAGAGCAGGATGACTGATAATACTGTTTTTACCATGTGTTTTTCTCACTTTGCAAACCAGGACCCCCCTCTGCTCCTCGGAGTGCCATCTCAAATGTTAACGAGACTAGTGTCTTTCTGGAATGGATTCCCCCTGCTGATACTGGTGGAAGGAAAGATGTGTCTTATTATATTGCATGCAAGAAGTGCAACTCACACTCAGGTCTGTGCGAGGCATGTGGCAGTCATGTCAGGTACCTCCCCCAGCAAACCGGCCTGAAAAACACCTCTGTCATGATGGTGGATCTGCTTGCTCATACAAACTATACCTTTGAAATTGAGGCAGTGAATGGAGTGTCCGACCAGAACCCTGGAGCCCGGCAGTTTGTGTCTGTAAATGTAACCACAAACCAGGCAGGTAAGTGGATCTTCAAGCTGGGAAAATGTCTGGGGTGGGAGCCTGAGCCAGTCAGACCCATTGAAGGCCTCCCTTTGAAATGGGTGGAAATATCTCCCACATGTAGGGCTGGACTGTGGATTTTTTGAATATGTTGGGTGGTGGGGTGGTCGTGTCTCACAGGCTATAATTACTGCAATCTTCAACATGTTTCCTTCCAGCAGGACACACTTAGAATCTGTGGCTTTTTCTTTTGTCTGTTATATTAAATAAGCTACTTGGAGTTCCCCCCACTTCTTTGCAGTTCTGTGTATCTGCTCACTAAAACAGAGGGAATATAATTGCCTCTCCTGTTGGGAAAGGGCGATCCCTGAGAGTTCATTTTGATTCCACATGTCAGTGGTCTAAAACATCCAAACTTTACAGTTACCCTAAGAAAATAGTCTTGAGCGACTTCAGGAAAATCAGTTCCTCTCCTACGTTGTGACATACAGTGCAGTGTCACTGCATCTCCAACAAGGTAGGACTGAGATGTCATTACATACTGTGTCATTGGCTTTGTACTGTGCAGACAGATCTCGTATATTGGTTTGTTCCTTTGTTTGGAGCTCAGATTTGTCTGTCAACTCTTTGGAAGCCTAGAGAGAGAAAAAACAACTGTTGTGTTTGGGGCAAGCTGCTTTGGCTCTTCAGAGCCCTGTGCCTTGAACACAGGCAGGTGTGGAGTTGACATTGTCTCTTGTCATTTGGAGGTGTGATGGGAGAGAAAAGCATGATTACTCTTTCTGTGCACATCAACATACCGGGCACATCACACAACTTCTCTAAGACCCAGAGAACCCACCCACACACAAATATTTCCATTCTCTTCTAGTCTCTTGTATGCTCTGTGTTTTAAGTTTTTTCCTATTGCCTACTTAGCTTGCTTTCTGCTGCTTAATTTAAGGCCCCCAGTGGTACCTGTCTGCTGTGGACCCCATCCAGGAACATGAATTAGTGGAATTTGAGACCTTGCAGATTGTGCTGCCTGATCAGAGGAGCCAATGCTTGCCTTCTCCTTACAAAGATTTAGCAGGAAATGTGGTGCGATATGCAGAGTAACAGCTAGATGGAGATTGTCAGATCCTCACTGTGAAGCAGAAACGAGTTAGCTGGAGCAGGACTGCATTTCATTCCTGCTGCCCAGGTGTACATGTGTGGGCTTGGCTGCCAGCAGTGAGAATGTAATTGTATTGGACTTTATCAGATACCTGCCCAGATAATTAGACTGAATTGTCAAAGTGTTGGACAAATTGCTCAGGTATATTTCAAGGAGAGCAAACAAAGGCATGCTGGGGTTACTGCTAATGGATGTAGCAAGGAATCTTCCAGAGGAGCATCAGTGGATGGCAGTATGACACCTGTTGGAGGCACCTGTTCAGTGCAGATCAGTGGGTGTCTTGGTCCTAATGCTGTTTACTGTTGTCTTCCTACTGGGAAGGTTGCTGCCAGTAACTACTGCTGGAAAAAAATGTATTTTCCTGTTAGTGAGCTTGTATTAGCATTTCATTGCTGGCATTACTTTTTCCCTGATATGTAGAATTAAATCCACATAACCCTCTGTAAATGTAGCTTTATGAGAGAAGATGATACATCGCTGATCACTTCTGTCTGTGAGGAAATGGCTCTGTTCTGTGAGTTATGTGCCAAATAGTTGCAGCTGGATTTATCTGCATAGCTGGCTTCTTGTGACTCAAGCCAAGAACACCTCCCTTGCACAGTTATTGCCCACAGCTTTGTGCTGGGAGATCCACTGTAGGAAATTGTAGACCTGTTGGTTTCACATGCAAATACAGCTCCTGTTAAAGACAGTGGGTAAGTTTAGCTTCTGGTTCAGTTTCTGTGTTACCCTGGCAGACGCAATGCAGCCAGGGGAGACATAGGCAAGAGTAGTACTAATGGATCAAGCCACAAGTGTTTAATGCGCTGCGTAGCATTCAAATAGTATCTGTATGCTCTTGTGTTTGAATCAGTTGGAGACGCTTGCAGAGTCCACTCATCATCCAGAGGGATTGTGCAGGGGATTTTGTTGTTGCTGGAGCTGGTCCCACCCAGTTCGTTGAATAAAGAGAGCCAGGCCTGTTTGCTTGAGCTGTACAATTCGTGCATCAAATGTGTTTCTCAGTAATGTTCCTCGCCCTCTGCTCTCTGGGATGACAGTCCCTGGGATGACAATCACTTTGTCCATGACAGAAACAAAGCGACTATAGACAAGGACTGAACAAATTGTATGCAAGCATGGAAAGTGGCTATCTGTTTTATTTAGGTTCCTCTGAAAAATGTCCTTTAGGGTTAGTAATGGAGGTGTGCAGGCAGTGGTCTATGGTTGGCCATACCCAGAGATGCTAGATATCATTGAAAGAGCCTCACCTTCACCTGTTCTCTCAGATCAAAGCAAGCAAAGCACATGGGGCTTCAGCACGGTCTCAGCAGCCTCATCTCCCCAGAAAACCAGCACCAAGAGATGCTGCCCTGGGGACCCATCCTTTCTCTTACACAGATTTTCTGCCTGTGTGATTACATTTCTATGAAGGCTGGTATAATTAAGTAGAGAGTCACTAAAGGCCTGGTAGCATTACAAGGCCAACTGCAGCAATAGGAGAACAAGAACTGTGTGCTGTGGAAAATGAAAAAAAAAATGTGCCATGGATTAGGTCTAGCTGTTTGAGGCCTGCTGGCTGGTAGTCACTAACTCAGTACTGGAGGGAAATGCCAGGATTTATTTTGCTGTTTTGGCTTTGTCTGTCCCCACCAAGAAAAAACATGCTAATTTCAGGACTGCAGAGAATGTGCAAGCAGCAGGATGTTGGCTGTGCCATGTCTTCTATGTATGGGAGCTTTTGGCAGTAGAAACTGTGTCTGGTTTGGGTTCTTGAAAGGATTGCTTCCTGAGGAAAATGTGTTCCTCTCCAAACTAATTTGTTCCCCTTCCTTCTCTCCCCAATTTGAAATAACGATAAAAAGAACTGGCTGGCAATCAGTCTGGCATTCTCAGTCTGATGTAATTTTCCTCTGAACTTTTGAAATGAAGTTTGGAAGTACAGCAAGAGAGAAATAATCTTTATGCACAAATTGAGGCAGATCAGCTCATTTCAGCTGGTGACCCCAGCACACTTCCCCAGGGATGTGATGGTACCTGGAATGGGACCAATCTATGTTGGACACAGTGTCTTCAGACTGAGTACTGATTCCCCTGTCACAACCTACTCTTCCTCAGTGATCCCTAAGCCTCTGTTCTTTCTCTGTGATTTTGCAGGTGTTTTTTACTAGATACTTTCATGGATCTGGAATGGTTGAACGATGCAGCCAGCCAGGAAAGGTGGAAGTTGCACTGACCTCCACCGTGACACCTCAAAGCTGCAGGAGGCAAACAGAGGACCTTACTCTCTCTTATCTTCCCACACCTCTTAAATATCTGGTGCAGCTCCCTCCTCAGGTCCAAGTACTTTGTCCCTATCCACCGTGCAGTTAGACCATCTATTTCTGATAGGGCAAGCAGAGGGCAGTTCTTGGATTCAAGGGTCAAGAAACCTTGTGTTGACTGGCCAAAGCATGGTTGTCCCCATTGGGACAGCTGTAAAATAAGCACACATGGGAATTCTCAGCACAGATGGCAGGGAGCCATCTGTAATGTGGTCTGAATGCATTAGAAAGTGTGCCTCATGCACATGGGGTGGAGCCCAGTGAATAATTCATAACTGGCAACAGTAGGATTAAGTTAGCCATCCTTTTCATGTTGGTGGTTTTACTCAAATTCTTATCTTTTTGAAACTGCCACCTAATGACCATTTCTACACTATTTCCAGAGAGCAGTCTGCTGGTGCTGCTAATACTGAAGTTGGCTTTTCACGTGACAATGTGTGATGATTTTTCTTAGAGATTCCACCAAGCTGGGTGATTAAGTAATGCTATCATTCTAGACAAAGATGTGCATCTCCCCTGAGGTCTTTCATCTTATCTGCCCCATGCACAGAAGGCACCTACCATGAATTCTCGCTCAGGGATGTGTATCTTGTAATGGGCCTGTAGGGAGCAAGTGGTTGTGATTCATGATTGCCTGTTTGCCCATTGTATCATCATCCACACACACAGTGGGAATGCATAGCATTTAAAACCCTTCTGGACTTAAAACCTGCAAAAGTAATTCAGTTGTAGCCAGCCTAAACAGCTGTGCAGTTTTCCTTGCCTTTCATTTCCAGTGTAGTCCGTGCTGGACATGGGCTAGAGGTGGGGGGTCTAGGAGTGGGGCAGTTCTTTTCCTGATTGCTCACATGCCATGGACTCTCTTTACATTTGAAGACCTTCTTCTCTGTGTGTGTTTTCAAATAAGCCCCTTGCCTGTTTTCTACTTGAAAAGCTGGAAATCAGCATTCGGTCCAACTCTGTGACCTGTATGGTATTTTCACGCCTTATGGGGAAAAGGAGGAAGAAAGGTCTGGATGTGCTTGCTAGCAGAGGAGGAGTTAGTGTGTCTAATGCTTCAAGAAACCTGCATGCCTGAGGCCAAAACAGAGATACAAGTTGTGTCCTGTGGTGCAGCAGTGATCTTTAAGCAAAGATGTTGGAGGACAGGACCTGGCAACCCACGCTGCTGCCTGGGAAGCAGGGCCAGATTCTTTCTTGACCAAAAGAAAACGCTAAATGCTTGAGCAGTTAAGAAGCTGTCAGGAGCAGAGAGGTGCGCTGAGAGCCATGACCCTCACTCTGACTGTGCAGACTGTGACACCATACTTGCAAGGAGCAAAAGAGAAGAGATTTTCCTTAACACTCAGGATGCACCAGTCTTTGAAAAGCAGTCAGGAGCAGTTTGGAAAAGGAAAACTACAGTGTAGGGCTTGTTACAATCTTAGGTCAATAACTGTGTGTTCTTAAAACAGAAAGACTGCAGCTCCACACAGCCTGGGAAGAGCATACCAGAAAATGAGGCAAGAAGGTGGCAGTACTCACTGCACTGGGAAGCTGTGTTCTCTGAGATTGCCTTT